GGGTGTTCTGGGTAGTTGCTAGGGTTTTCTGGGTGGTTCATAAAGTATTGCTAAGTGGTTCTAGGTTGCTAGGGAGTGTGCCAGGGTGTTCTGGGTGCTTGTTTTGATGTTTTGCTTGGTAGTTGCTAAGGTGTTCTGGTTGGTTGCTAGGTAGTTTCTAGAATTTTCTGGATGTGTGGTTGCTAGGTATTTGCTAGGGTGTTTTGGGTGGTTGCTATGGAATTTCTAGGGTGTTTTCTAGGGTAAGTGGTTGTTAGTGTGTTCTAGGCAGTTGCTAGATAGTTGCTAAGGTTTTCTGGATGTTTACTAGGGTCTTCTGGGTGGTTGCTATGGAGTTGTTATGGTGTTTAGGGTGGTTTCTAGAGTATTGCTATGTGCTTGCTAGGTGGTTGTTAGTGTGTTCTGAATGGTTGCTAAGGTTTTCTGGGTGGGTGCTATGGAGTTGCGAGGGCATTTGGTGGTTTCTAGGGTATTGCTATGAGGTTTTTGTTAGAGATTTGCGATTTTCTTGGCTGATTCCGATTTCCGATTTTTTTGTAAGTGTGACCTGCCGATAACAATTTTTGCCGATTCCAATTTTCTTTCCAAGAACTATAATTGACTTTTTTCAATACAAAAATTATTTACATAATAAAATAAATTATTAAACATTACAATTCCCCCAATCTGGACTAAGTTACAGATGTTCTCTCACTTAACTCTCAAAATAAAGTGCTCTGGAAGTACAAGTGACTGGAAAGAGGTAGAGATGAGTTGCTGTATGTAACAAAACAGATGTCATTTCCCACTATGTTTATAAATGGTTATTTCCCTAACCTAATTAAATGTGTCATCTTTCACATCAAACTCTTACATTGTTTCAATTAATTCAGTTAGAATAATAAGAAACTGTAGAGTTGTTACCATTCAAAAGAAATCAATATCAACAAACTCCATCTTTCCACTGCAGGAAACACAGAAGCTGCATCTGAAGTAGCATTAGATGTATTTACACTGTATTTGAATGTTTGATGAAGCTGAGGTGCCATAAATGCATTTACACTGCAAAATTTCAAATGCATAAATAATTTTATAAGATTAATGTTTTAAATATGATTCATGTTTTAACTTCCACGCTGACGACATGTTTACGTGCGGATATGAGCATAAGTGTGACTTCAAAACGGACCGGTGTTACGAAATTTTCGGTTTCTGAGATTTTTGTTTTCAGGGTGCAGAGCATACATGAATATTCATGAGTTTCCTGGGCATGTGCATGGAACTGAGAATTTTAGTTTGCACTCCTTGTATCTCAGCATGTTTAATGGAATATTTAAAAAATGGTAAATATATTTATTGGGTTGCACAAACCTATGCCTTAACTATATTTGTTCATCATTTCGTAACAGTTTATAATGTTTTTATTCGTTTGCAGTGCACATTTTAAACCTTGCACGTTTTGTACAGTCGTCCCTGACTGAATGATTGCAGGCATGTAATGTCAGGGTAAAGTACAGCAAACCTCAGCTAGTTGAATACATTGATTTCAGTTTGTAGCTTGCGATGCCTTAAAACTGTGTCTGTTATTAGTTGTTATCATTTGTTGAATACGCCGTTGCCTGCAACAAATGAAATAAATCTATATGAAAGTATCTGTGGACATATATTCTTTGTATACTGATGTGATGATCCTTATGTTAACTTACCTTGTTCAGCATTCTCCATGTTGTCTGGTTGTGAACTGTCTGCTGTCTGGTTGTAAACTATGATACAGTCATACACTGCTGGAAACAATGTTGTTGAAATTTCATTGTTTTTTCATGTTTCCAATATAAAATATTTAAACATTTTTATAAACAAATAAAAATGTACAAATTAAGATTTCACAAGTAAAGCACTCTTAGTCCATCGAGCTGAATATGAATGTGAAAATATTTATCCGTGACGACTCTACCTGAACTGTACAGGAAAGTGCGTAAACACATATCAGAAGGGTTAAAAGATGTCAAAGCGATGAGTTTCACAAGGGATGTCTTTCTGTTTATTTTTACATGTTGTTTTACCAAGCTAGTGAAGCTATTGGTTTATTCAGCTGCTTTTTTATTGGATGTTACAGGGATCATGACATTTCTTTAATATGTTCCTTGAAGTTCACTTATAATACTAGTAATCTTTTTTGCACACACACTATATATAGGCTATATATATGCGGAAAAACAATTATTTGGCTAACTTAGGGCCCTACGAAATTTTATTTTTTCCTCAAATTCCATTTTATTTCTTTCCAAATTCTGTTTTTTTCCCCCATTTTAATTTTTCTGGATTCCGTTTTAATTTTACCTAGACTCTGTTTTAATGGTTAAATTACATTTTATTAATCAAAAAGCATGTCTAATTAATTGAAATCATGAAATATTTAACAGCAATTCATTAAAAGTTTAACAGAAATTACATTTTTAAAGTCCTATGAAATATTTTTTTTTCTCAAATTCAGTTTTATTTTGAACACATTCTGTTTTCCATTAATTTTCTGGATTCCATTTGAACATTTGAATGAAATTTTAATAATGTTTCTTCACATATATAATGTAATTCACAAATCGAGAAATGATTCTGCATCGATTCTTCGATTCTGAAGGCATCGCGATTCTCTCTGAATCAGTTCTGAGTTTAGTTTTTAACAGCAGATGGCACTGCGTGCTTTAGAAATCGCCATATTCTGCTTGCTTCCAGTTCTTTACAGACGCACTATTTGAACCTAAAATAATCATTCATAAAGTTTCGAAAAGGTTGACGCGAATTACAAGGATGTTCACAGTGGGCTGTGTTTACATTAATCTCGCATCATAAAAGCCGATGTGCAAGTACATTTAACCACTTACATTACTCAGCCGAAAGCACAAGCACTCTTCTTCATGAGCATTTGAGTGTGTGGTTAAAAACTAGCCTAGAGCGCCATCTGCTGTTAAAAACTAAGCTCAGAATCGATTCGAGAGAGAATCACGATGCATTACGCAAATCTCAGAATCAATCCACGAATCGCGATGCATCGATTTATCGTCCCAGCCCTAATGAAAAGCATCTCTAATTAATAGATTTTATACAAAATCATTACATGAAGTAATATATTTCTGTCACAGTTTCTTCAAGTAAAACCAAACTTTTATTTTGACAGGTTGCTGTGAAGACCTTTAAATTTCAGTTTGTATATGATATGACGATGGTTTTTCTCAAAAGAAACGGTAAAATGCTCATGAAGTGACAAAGAGCTGCGTGCTGTAACATATGTTTATATTTTAATGAAAATATCTAGAAATTTAATGAAAATGTTTTTTGTATTTTTAAAAATATTTTTATATGGTAATAGTAAATGGTATAGTTTTATATTTAAAAAAAAATATTCTGCTGCAGTATGAACAGTTCAGTAGAATCTTTACCAGTTGACACATTTCTGTCGGTATGTACCATAGGACCGCACACCCAGAGTGTTTTCCATGTTCGGTCACGTGTGCTGCCCATGACTCATTGGCAGCCCGATCCCAGCACAGCCTCATGGGACCCTGCAGTGGTTGTGTTTTCATTGGTTTCTCACGCTCCGTTCCTCTGTCTCTCGCTCTCCTTCTCATCGGGTGGCGAGTGTAACCATGGTAATGCTGTTCTCTGTCCTCCGCAGGGAAAGGTTCACCTGGAGCTGCGTCTCAGTGAGGTCATCACAGACAGCGGAGTCGTCTGCCACAAGCTGGCAACACGGTGAGACAGCCAATCACAAGTTCCACATAGCTGCCCGTCAGCCAATCAGAGCCCAGCCTTCGTGTTTTATTAGATTCACGTCCTGAAAGATCAGAGCGTGTCTTCAGCGAGTATGTTCCTTGTTTCAGTGAGGGTGTTTCTTGTACATGTAATGTTCGTCATCCAACAACCTACTAATTATAGTCTATTTAATGTTCAGAATGAGGGAGACACTTCTGACTCAACCAGTCATGTGAGTTTTGGGGCAGGATTTTCTGACCATCAGACCAATGAATGACGAGAATTTTCATTATTCTTGCAGTTGTGTTTGATTGAACAGAAATCACACGTGCAGCTTCAGTATTTTTTAGCAGTGATGCTTTAAAGAGGGTAAAGAGGTTTTTGTCATCCAACAACCAACTAATTATACAGGTTGACTAATTGACTTAAATTCTTACCTTTTATTTTTAACTGCTTAAAGTTTCTAGTATGTCAGTTTAATGTTCAGAGTCACGGAGATGCTTCAAACTCAACTAATCATGTGCATATGGGGGCGGGACTTTCTGACCATACTTTTTATTTATGTTAATTAATATTTGAGAAATGTGAAATAATAAAAAAACTATTTAAAAAAATAAATGTGTAAACTAAACTTTAGATGACAACTTTTTGATTCTGTAATCCTATTACTGTATTTTTCACAAATAAAGAAATATTTAAAAATATATAAATAAAAAGGAAGTAAACACTGTAACCAACAGGGCACTCAGTAATCTGTTTGTGTGCATTGGGAATTATTATTTTTTTAACTAAAGCCAAGGTAACACTCATTTTACATTCAGCACACAGTGAAAATGACATGAACATGATAGTGGGCAAATAATGCACAGCATAGTTTGAAATCACGAGTTTAAAGTGTATAAATCATGCGTCTCCAGTGAAGCTGAACTCTCCTCCTGTCCGCATTTAATTCGCACGGACCGACCATCACACAGAGCACACGCGGTCATGCAGGATACAAATGCACACTTCACAAGATCTCACAACTAGATTCGACTAAGTCTGCAAGGTTTGTGAAATCAAATGTTTATTAGACATTCAAAGATTTGTTTAAATTATATGAATGCGTATTTGCTGAATGCTGACGGTAAATGAGAAAGTATTATAATGTTTTAAGCCGACAGACATAACCAAATGTGTTTATATGTAAACCTGACAGTATTATACACGAAATCAATCGGACGCGTAAGACAACTTAGTCCAATAATCAGGCGCTTTTTGACAGGCTCTCAGTGTGAGCGCGCTGCCACTCAGAAATACGTGCTCAGAAAAAGCGCATGCAGAACAGCACATGAATTAAATGTTTAACCGGTATTGCTTTAAAGCAGATGGAAATAATGTAGTTTTGTGATTGCGCATAAGTGCATATATGTCGCACTGTACAGCCCTGCTTTAAGGCAAGTCATGTCACTCAGCGGCCATCTTTGAAATGCCTCTCGGGCATGCAAGTGCAGCTCCTATCTCTTTGAATGGGGAAACATCAAATTCTACAAAACCGTTCGCCAAGCTTATGATTACATTTCAGATTTGAAATCACCAATGAAATCTGACAACAACAGTCTCATAAATGTTGTTTCTTTTGCTCAAATAGCAATAAAAAAGCTTATTTTCAGGCTATACCAGCCAGTGTGCATGCGCAGTCCTGAGCACACGTCTCAGAACGCTGACTGTTTCTATAGCAACCGGGACTTCTAATGGCAGCTGCAGTAACGCGATGACTTTACCGATTAGCGATTGGCTCTTTTACTCAGAAGGCGGGACTTCGTTCAATAGAGCGGCCATATTGAGCATTGCATTTTTCCTCATTCAAAACTATAAAAGTGACACGTCTTGGGTATTCTATAGTGTTTGATAGAAGTGCATGTGATGAATACACAAACCACCATCATTTGCCTTTGAATGTCCATTACCTGGCGTCTCAGCCAGTGCTCATCAGTGTTGTTTACTGCAGATTTTATTGCGTGCAGTAATGTCGCATACTGTGCAGTGTACGTTTTTCAGCAGTAGTGTGGTGTAGCTAGTGTCTGTACATTCACTGAAGTGCATTTTAGCATCATAGATAAGCTCTGCTGATCTGCTGCAGTCACTGTGTGGTTTGATGCCTTGATTAGTGCCTGACGCTTTATTTAAAATGACAAGAGAAACGCAACACTCAGACTGAGAGTAAATAAGTGAACTGAAGTCTGCTGTGTTTGTGTGTGTGTGTGCATACACTGGACATATCTTCACATATCTGTAACTGCATGAATGCATCTGTGCTGTACTGTCAGCTATCTGAATGAAAATGAGTTAATGTATGAGAACATGCAGTATGTGCTGCACGCGTGTGTGTGTGCTCATGTAGGTTTCATATGCTTTCACAGCATTAGTAGGTCCATGTCTGGACAGTTTCCTACACTGGAGCACTCTGGGTAATGAGCTTAGAGTCACAATGAGCAGTGCTTTCATTCACAGGATATTTATGCAGCTTCCATTTTAAGACACAACGAGGATGATGTTTACACACACACACACTGATTCATTTAGTACATGAGCTTCATTGCACTGCTGCTGCTGTGATTCTGGTGTGTGACTGACATGGCAAGGGCTTTTTCTTTTAGATAAAGCAGGAAATATAGGCCTAAAATGCATTACACAATTTCACATGTTTTTATTATGATTGCAAAACATACTGGTGGCCTTATGTGTGCTGGTCACTATTAGCTTGTTTTAAATGATTAATTTTGGATTAATTTGGCTGAGTTCAGTTTCTCTAATACACACTGGCCACAATTATTGGCACCCCTAGAAATCATTATGAGTAAAAGTACATTCCCATTCATATTTATAATTGTCCATCCATGATTTCCTGTTTCACAGTAATATATATATATTAGGGAACACAAAGACCAAATTCCCTCAATCATCCATCACAATGAGAAAAACAAAATAATTGTTGAGCTTCACAAAAAGTGGCTGTAAGAAAATATCTATTCTCATTTCCACCATCAGCACAGTAATTAGGAAGTTCCAATCAACAGGAAGTGTTACAAATCTGCCTGGAAGAGAACTTCGGAAAAACATTTATTTCATAACATTTTTATAACATTTCCCCCATTTTCAATTGTTTTACTTCATTGAAAGGTTAGATTTTTGTGAATTTTTAAAATCAAAATCAAAAGGATTAACAATGCAGATATATTTTCACAGGCTTCCTTGTTCATATTTACCAAGGGTGTCAATAATTCTGACAATGACTGTGTGTGTGTGTGTGTGTGTGTGTGTGTGTGTGTATATATAT